AAGTTTAGCTGGTATTGAAAGAAAGAAATTTTTTTTTTTTTTTGTATTTTCCTATTTATCTATATATTTTATAATAAATTATTTGCAATCAAATTAAAACACTCTTATAGCCACTTTATAATAAGAAGAATGTAAATGAGCAGACTGAAATGTAAGTTGTTGCACCTCTGTATATGATTGTCTTGAGAGAATGCTGAGCAGTGAGAACATGTATGTTCTATGACTGGTAATAGTTCTTATTGCTGATCCTTAATTTTAGGTATGCTAAACTGTCAACAAAGGATGCCTTACAGCAGTGGTTCTCAACCTTTCTAGGGCCAGGACCCCTTGGGGTAACATTTGCCAAGTTGTAGTGACCCCCAACGGTAAAAGTTAGGAATGACACGGCTGCTGCAGCGACATCTGGCTGGAGAACTGACACTGCTGTGCTAGGAGAGGGCTGAGGAGGACTCTCACCTAGCACAGCAGAAATCACACAGCGACCCACAGGTTGAGAACCACTGGTGTACGCCGTCAGAATAAAAAAACACCCTAGGAATGCATAGCTAGATTCCTATTGGCTATTTCACTTTGCAATAGCAAACTAGCTATTGCACCCGCCCTCTGCTACTGTCAATCAGTAGGCACCTGATGGAGAACTTCAGGTCCCCCTCTGCTGATTGGCAGCAGCAGAGGGCGGGTGCAATAGCTAGTTTGCTATTGGCTATTGCAAAGTGAAATAGCCAATAGGAATCTAGCTATGCATTCCTAGGGTGTTTTTTCTTTTTTCTGACTTATGGCAGCCTATGGCCCCCAATGTCAGACAAAAAAGATTTACTCGGCTTGGGAGAAAGTGTTTCTCTCCCAGGCTGCCGGGAGCCGCTATCTGATAGCAGGAGACTCCCGGGCGACCCCTGGCGAATCGTCATTCGACCCCCAGGTTGAGAACTGCTGCCTTACAGCGATGTATCTTTTTAGTAAAATATAGGCACTAGGTAGCTTGTAAACAGAGTTGGAGCGTTTTGTAGAGCGTTCTTAGAGCGTAGAACGCGCTACAAAACGTTCAGGTGTGAACGAGGACTAAAGGTGCAATCCTGTCAAAATAAAGCCTGCCTGATCTGGGCCTACATTTATTTATTTTATAATTCCCATACATCCTTCAGTAGGCTACATCTGTGTTTTAACATAAAGAATGTTCCTCAGAGCCACCAATTATTTTTAACCTCTTCACGACCAGTGACATACAGTGTACATCACTGGCATCGGTCCTGTTTAAACAGACTCCCGGCGGCAAAAGTACTCTGTTTACAATAGCTTATTTAAAGTAGAAAGGTGATACCGGGGGTCTTTTGGACCCCCAGTATCACCTTAAAGAGTACTAGTCGCCACCAATCTGCTATCACATGGGGGAGCTCGTAAGCCTCCCCATGTGATGGAATTTAAAGAAGAAAAAAAAAAGTTTTTGTAAAAAAAAATTTACATTTATTTAAGTCCCCTGCCCCCGTGAGCGGGCGCGTCTTTACGTAAACGCGCGTCGGTTGTGCCTACATAAGAAAATGGCGATCCACTACACAGGCTGGGTATCGCCGCATACGCCAGAGTGAGAGCAATAATTCTGGGGCCAATATTTCTGCGCATCTCTAAACTAATGACCTGTAGGGGCTTTTAAAGCGTTGTCTATGGACTTTTTGAGGTACTGAATTTTATCGCAGTTTCACGGACGCGCACAATTTTTAACCTGGGCATGTTGGGTATGTATTTACTCGTAACAATCTTTTATACTTTATTTTTAAAAAAATTGGTATTTTATTGTGTTTTGGAGCATTTAAATGCATTCATAGAAAAACATTGCACTGGCTTCAGGGATCCGACCTACCCAATACACCAGGTGTTCTCTGCAATCCGCAGTAGATTTCATAGAGCTCTGATGAAAGTAGTATTAAACACTTGTTCTTCAACGTAACGCAACAGATCTGGTGTGAACTAGTCACCCTTAAGCTCTTTTTCAATAATTAATCCAGATTAAACAAATATACATTGCTCAGCAAAATTTTACCCAAGCACTTGCAGTCTTCATGCTTCCAGACAGCTGACTCCAACACTCGGCTCCATTCACCTGAACTTCCTGCCTAGTACAAGATCACAAGGGACACAGCAGTCGCCAGCAGTTGTCCATTTGCTAGCTTGCAGGACCTTGGAAGAGGCATGTGGCTTGGCCTGCTGTGCCTGTGTGTTTGTGGCAAGACACATGGTTTACTATCACACACAAGGGTGGCCCCAAAGGACCCTACAAGGGAAAGGATATCAGGGCCAGTGCTCGGGAGCAGCTGATTCGGCAGGAAACTAACAGTTTTAAACATCAAGGAGCAGCATCCATTTAAACTGATTTAATTAGAATTTCAAACGGCTTGGAAACATTTTCACTTTAAGATAAACTGAATGGACTTATCAACTTTCGCACAATTACTATATTCTCTTGTTAGTGTTAACAGTTCAGTAACTGGATTACTGGTTCAACAGAATTTTTGTCTTAAATATGGTTGCGCTTTCTCTATGAACTTAAAACAAGATGCAAACACACAGCTAGGCCCATACTGCTAGAAACCGTGAAGCAACGGGAGAGCTAATACAAATGCATCCTTAAACGTTTGTAAACAGAACCAAGAATGGTATTGAGATAACTTTACAGTTGCCGTCATGCTTCAGATCCGGCAACCAAATTGAAATGAATCTTTTACAGATATTTACCAAAATGATACTTGACTGCTGCGGGATATTGCATTTTACGTATTTCCTTGGCTGCATGCACTGCTGTCATTAAAATGGTTTAAATGGACCTTGTGTATCAAGTGTACAGTATGTGTTGCCCATAGTGATCACATATATTCAATCCTCACATTAACTTATCCTTTCAAACTCTTTAAAAAAAACAACCTTAATATCCTTAGTGATATATCTTCTTAGACCCTGCCAATGAAGCGCTTGCACTGTAAACAGTTTTGTTAAAACAAAAAAATCTGAGCATAAACACTTTTCTAGAATCCACAAAATGAAGGAGTTTACAACTTTCTGATTCTTCAGAGCTTTCCATATAAGGTGATACTATGGAGAAATGGCTTATCAGTAATGTGGATAAAGAATGATTATTGCAGTATAATCAAATGTATGCAGTTTGATTTTCTAAGTAATGTTAATCATGTACTTTTTCTGGCAAGGACTGCAAAAGAAAAATGCTTGCAGATGTTGGAGTATTGATTGCATAAGATGTTGAAACCCACAAAACCCTGGGGCCCAGATCTTGGTAATTTCTGCTGTTTATGTAATTTCAACACAGCACGTCACTGAAATGTTATTTATATAAAGGAGCAGAGGCCAAATTTGGCAAGCATAAGCGTCTGCCAGTGCCTACAGATGTATTGTTTCCTCGAACACCACTCGTGCAGTCTGTGGCTTTCCAATTACACATTCACTCTCACTTTCTTGCTGGAATAATTACCTGTCTTTCCTGTTTTATTTATCTTTTCCAGACTTAGTTTTTTTTCTTCTTAGAATTAATTGAGAATGCTCTGGGTTTTTTTTTCTGGGAAGTCTAACCACAGAATGCCTTAATGTTGTGGTTACATTAATTAATGCTGCTTGGAAGATTAATAACCATGAAAATGGTTCTTTAAAGTGACACTAAACTCCAGGAGTTGAATCTTAAAAATACATTCAAGTACGTTAACTATTAACAAAACTGTATCTTATTTGTGTAACACTCAGCTGTAGATCCTCAAATCGTCTTTGAATTTGTGCTGACACTGTCCTTCCTACTGGAGGATGGCTACATTTATTCCCCATGGTCCCTGTGTGTGTTGTAAAATAGCCACCGCTCCAAGCTCTCTCCCATGATGGAATATAAACTCAATACCAATTGCTAAACTGAACGGGAGATTGTAGTCTATCATGGGAGTTAGCTTGGAGCGGAAGAAGGAAGGACTTGGCACTTCAGCCAAAAAAATGGGCTGAAAATCTCGGCTTATACTCGAGTATATACGGTAATATGAAACAATACAAATGAAGGATCATTTTAAGAAATCAGATTTTTGTACTTACTGTAAAGTTCTTTTCTTTGCGTCCATTGAGGGACACAGGAAGTCGTATACTGTCTGATTGGACTACCGCCCACAGGAGGATTGGTAAACTAAACAAAAATTTGTAGGCTAGCCCAGGATAATCCCTCCTACTGCCAGCATGCCTCAGTTTTGTAGCAAAGCTGTTCCAAGAGCATGATTGTAAACACAGAAGGGTGGGACTTCGTTCTCCTCATGAAACTTCAAGAAAAAGACCTACGGCGAGTATGAAAGCGATATTTTCTTTTTCGCTCATTGAGGGGCACAGGAGGTCTTACACTGTCACGATGCCCAACTGAAGGGTGGGCAGCAGCAAGCATTCACTAATAGAAACTGGGGAACTTGAGAGCCAACGGACAAACAATTTCCTGAAGTTGGCACCAGATGAGGCCACACCCTCTACCTAGTAAGCAGAAGACAAGACCAGGTTCTAGAATGCTGAAAAGAATTGAAT